TCGTCTTCTGTTAAAACACTTCGTAGATATTTCAAAATGGAAACAAAAAAGACAGATACTCAGAAAGAGACTGCTGAAATTTCTTGGATACATAATGAGGAAGAAGGGATTGGAGAATTTGTTACCCGTAGGGCATATCGAAATCAAAAGGGACTGAAGGAGGTAGTGGGCCACCTACATGATGGGTTTGCGTGAATGGATGGCGGAACGCGGCGGAGGGGAGAATAGTAAAAAGGCAAACAAAAAGAATGGCAACATGACAAACAAGGAATAGGAAGTCGTGAAGAACCATGTTTACCGACGTCCTGAAAGGACACGCCACAAAAAGGAAGGCAATTTTTATTTTTTATCGTTACAGGTTAATTTTAAGCTATTAACTTTCAAATAAAACCAACATTTAACTACAAAGTCATTTAAAGTAAGTCGTCATCACATGCAGTTCATCCTCTCAATAATAATAATAATAATAATAATAATAATATTAATATTGAAGAAACAATATCAATATAGTAATGCAATGTTTATAAAAATAAATACATTGCAAAATACAAATTCATTGCCGCCGAGTTCAATCTTGACTATTATTTTTTCGAGTAAATAAAGCTTGGTAAATACTTGCATATATAAGATCACGCGAAACTTTGAATTTATATGTAGGCACTATTTACATTATTCGGACTGTTGTCCTCATCTTTGTCGCCATGTTCATCACAACATTGTACGCTCCGGCCTTCTTCAGGTGGTTGGAATGTCGAACTGAAGCCTTTTATTTAGCTCGCTGGTGTAGACTGTTCTAGTTCCACGTGTCATGTCTAATGGATGTCAGTTATGTAGGCATAAGCGTGAACGGAGGCTGTATGAATAGCATAGAAAGTGAAATCGGCGAACTGGGTTCAAGTTGTCCATAGGTTTGTTGCGTTCACTTTCGTACAAAATACTGAATCCATTAATTTCCCTCCAGCAATGGGTTAAATAGAAGGTTAAATTTGGATCTTTAGCCTTGGGTGGCAGCCACTCTTGGAGAAAGACTAATCTGAATTCAAAACCGTGGATATAGCAATGGGGTATCACTCCATTATCTTTGAAGACATGTCACAGAAAATAAAGAAAAGGATTCTGTGGCGATACATAATCTTCTATGACCTAAAAGAACATGACATTAAATAATGCACACACACACACACACACACACACACACACACACACACACACACACACACATACATATATATATATATATATATATATATATATATAAAGGATAATCCTAGGGAACCAGGCAAACCTACCTAGGTTTCACCTAAACGGATCTTCAGGGTACTGCTTGCTGAGAAGGAAAATTAAGGAACAGTATTTATTGTTAAAACCAAAAATAACCATGACTACATGACAAAAATAATAATAATAATAATAATAATAATAATAAAGATAAACAACGCGGTTGGTGGGTATGTACTTCTTGAACAACCAACAAAAAATGTTGTTGCTTCTTTCTTTTTTTATTCTCCATTTTTCGTCTGGTACCACTTTGTTCTACTGCAAATTGAGATATCCGAGGTTTTTCCAAACGAGTACCACTATTTATCATATATATATATATATATATATATATATATATATATATATATATATATATATATATAGCACAATTTGGCTATAGCATAAATGGTACTTATTAGTTTGAGACAACCAGAGAGCGAGTGAGCTTCATGTTTTATATACTAGCTTTCCGCTCCTAGAAGACTACACCCAAAAGATCTAGGGGTTCTTCGCGCCCTAGGGTATCCTAAAACAGACTAAAGGTACTTCACAGCACTTGACATTCAGGCCGGTAAATGTTGTTTAATACTGTTTGTTATAAACAGAGCATTTACTTAAATATTTGTATCTATAAAAACGAATGTATAAACATAAAAATGTCTTAAAATAATTGTCGGACTTTGTCCATTTCATAATACATATAAATTATAACATATGTATAACATCACTACAAAAATAGCCATTTTGTTTCAACTCTTCTGGTGTCTTGTCAAGTGATGATTTTGCAAGTAAAATAAAGAATTAAAAAAAAAATGCCACATGCGGGGATCGCCTTCTCCTTTTTTTTCTTTTGTTGAACTCTTTATTTTACTTTTAATTTTTAAATAAATATTAGTCGCTCTACTATGTATTAATCACTTTTTTTAAATAGTGCTTTTGATTACTGGTATTCCATCTATACGAACCTTGTACTCGGGTATATATATATATATATATATATATATATATATATATTTGGTTGGATTGATGTCAGTTTGTGAACCTGGGTTTCACACTTTTGCGACCGTCAGACAAACGGATTAATTTTTTAAAATTTTTGGATTTATGTAGATTGCGTGTATTGGTGTTATTATGGAAGTGGAGGTGGGGGAATCGCCGTCGTGATGTCACTCATGCCAACGCAAACATAGATGCATGTCTGTACACCCGATGAGGTACGCAGACACACATACACACTTGCTCGTCCACCGGAGCTCATACAGATATAAACATATGTGGACAGTATGGGATTTGACATATGTATGTATATGGGCGCTGTTGTCTACATACATACGCATTTGGTTGCTGAAATGCAAAGATGGGATGTGTAAGCGTGAAAACTAGGGTCACAAACTCACATCTATCCAACCAAATATGTTAGCTCTATCTCTGATATTGAGAGCTTTCTAATAAGTACCGCGCATATAATATATAAATAATAATATATATAATATATTGCACATATATATATATTTATATACACACACTTTTCACACACACACACACACATATATATATATATATATATATATATATATATATATATATATATATATATAAAATTAGGAGATCAGCCGATTCCAATACTTTGGTTTCAACCTTTCGGTATCTTCAGGCGATTTCGGTTAATTGATTTCCTAACGTTTTATTTTTTGTAAAAGATAAAAAATTTATGAACGCTATATTTAAAAAAATAAATAAATGAATCAGTGCACGACGTGAGGTGTGGTAGGAGGTTAGGAGAAGGAGGAGGGGGAAATCAAGTATATTGGAAATGTATCGGTGGCGGATTAAATGAAATATACGTACTTTATTTTCATCCCACTTCATATGAACTCAAAAGGAACTTTTTAGTAGGTATAAAATATACATAGAGTGTACTGTGGGTAACTTTAAACAGAAGTAATACAATCATGTCATCTTTTAAGCTAAAAAGCCTTAGAAATTCTACTAAACTAGTCAACGATGTGTGGAAATTAAAGGAAAAAAATAAAAAAGGTCCGATTGTAAACTGGAAAATTAAAAAAAAAAGCAAAAGGTTTTTTATTGTAGGTTTACAATGTTAGGCACAGATGATTTGCTTCTGTTGATAAAATTATTAGTAGTGATTCTACAGAAGCCATGGCGATCAAAGTCATTCGTTGTCAATTCTAGCTTGGATTGATTGAGTATAGCTGAGTTTACAATTTTCCAGAACTCTTCCACAATGGCCGAAGTAATAAATCTTATTACATCATTTTCGGTGATAAATATGTGAGCCATGGTTAAGGCGAGCGCTGGCAGAAAATTGAGATGAATACCAAGGCAGATTTTGCTGGTATTCTTTGTAAGGAATTCTCGATACCAATTGCAGCATAACTAAAAACTGTATCAAATAAAAGAAACAACATCATTTGAGGACTCTCAACAGCGGCAACAGCTAAAATGGATAGCACATCCACTGAAAAAATAACATAATCAAGATGTTGACATTCCATTTTACTTCAAGGAAAGGAAGGAAACCCCCAATCAATCCTGGAAAGAGCGATAGTAACTACTGAATTTGAGAAACCTAATTTCATAAAAAATAATTTAAAGAGAAAAATTTTATAAATATCAACCAAAAGTAGTACAAGCTACTTAGTCAATGAATACTAAATGTTTCCTTATAAGGAAACTGCTATTATTACCATTTTTTGTTTAAAATTTTACTTGCTTTAATTTTATTTATCCACTTAAAAAGAAATATCGAAGATGTTAGGAATTAAGAGTCTGGTGAAATTACTCCTTAGAATTTATAAATACCACAATTAAGCCGACCGCAGTTGGGAGCATAACGTCATGGTGAACTCCACCATCCGTTCATTAACTGTATATAATATGTGCTTCACCAAGGCTGCACAGGGTTTTTGAATTCAGCTATATTCTTCCTCTAGGCTGGTTACCAATCAAGGCTGAAAAACCCAGTCTGCTTTAATCTGTAGCCCATAGCTGGGTTGGATTTTAACCCATAGTTGGAGATGAATTCATTCTTTTCCAAAGGGTATTTGCACGTAAGTGAACTCGACTGGAATTCGAACTTGGATCTCGAATTTCTTATTCCATGCCACTACCCATTACACCACCCGCACACATATAGAAATACTTGCGTGCATACTATTCAGAGTACGCACGCAGTAATTCCTTCAAACATAAATCCTAAAATCTGTGACAGGGATATTTGTTCCCCATTTGTCTTAGAAAATTGGCGCCAAGCAAATGATATCTGAAGATAAAGCCTTTTTTCATTAAAAGATCTCATCACTGATTTTTACTGTCACCAGCTGAGGACAGTGTTGAAATCCTAGTAAATATACAATATCTTTGCAGGTTCATTCTTTGAGAAATTCAATACTAGTGTTATAAAAGACAAAAACATCATTCGGTTGGACATTGTGCTAGACTTGATTGAGGCAGCTAATTAGTGAACACGCATGAATACGCAGGCGTAGACAGGTGCGTGCATCTTTGCATGATTGCATTAAATCAAATATCTTTGCACAAGAACATTTAAAAATGTCAAAATAATGATTCATTTTAGTTAACAAGTTCTGGCTAAATTCGGTCGAAGATTTTTGGTTTGAATTTCGATGCTAATGAGAAATCACTTTGGATTATTGCTTCGATAAGTCTCAAATAATTAGTAACTACCTAATATTCGTTTAGGAGTTTCTAGGGAGAAATTAGGGATATAGAAAAATAAGGAAAGAGAAAAAAGGGAGGAAGCGGAAGTGGACTAATGTAAATGGAAGGAAGGAAGGAAGGAAGGAAGGAAGGAAGGAAGGAACGTGCAAACAAAAAAAAAAGATCAACAAAAAGAAAGAAATAAACAGAGAGAATGGAACAAAAAAGAAAGAAACAAAAGTTAGAAATAAAGAACGAAAGCACAAATAAAAAGAAACATACAAATGAACAAATAGAAAGAAAGAAACAAACAAACAATAAGAACGAAAGAACGAAAGAGCGAAAGAAAGAACGAAAGAGAGAAAGAAAGAACGAAAGAATAAACGAAAGAGAGAAAGAAAGAACGAAAGAAAGAACGAAAGAAAGAAAGAACGAAAGAGAGAAATAAAAACGAAAGAATAAACGAAAGAGAGAAAGAAAGAACGAAAGAAAGAAAGAAAGAAAGAAAGAACGAAAGAAAGAACGAAAGAGAGAAAGAAAAACGAAAGAATAAACGAAAGAGAGAAAGAAAGAACGAAAGGAAGGAAGAACGAAAGAAAGAAAGAAAGAAAGAAAGAAAGAAAGAAAGAACGAACGAAAGAAAGAAAGAACGAAAGAGAGAAAGAAAAACGAAAGAATAAACGAAAGAGAGAAAGAAAGAACGAAAGGAAGAACGAAAGAAAGAAAGGACGAAAGAAAGAAAGAAAGAAAGAAAGAAAGAAAGAAAGAACGAAAGAAAGAAAGAACGAAAGAGAGAAAGAAAAACGAAAGAATAAACGAAAGAGAGAAAGAAAGAACGAAAGAAAAGAAAAAAAAAGAAAGAAAGAAAGAAAGAAAGAAAGAAAGAACGAAAGAAAGAAAGAACGAAAGAGAGAAATAAAAACGAAAGAATAAACAAAAAGAGAGAAAGAAAGAAAGAAAGAAAGAAAGAAAGAAAAGAAAGAACGAAAAGAAAAGAAAAGAAAGAATAAACGAAAAAGAAAGAAAGAAAGAAAGAAAACGAAAGAAAGAAAGAAAGAAAGAAAGAACGAAAGAGAAAAGAAAGAACGAAAGAACGAAAATAGCAAACGAAAGAACGAAAGAACGAACGAAAGAGCGAAAAGAATGAAAAGAGCGAAAGAAAAGAAGAAAGAGAAAAGAAAGAAAAAAAAGAGAACGAAAGAAAGAAAGAACGAAAGGAAGAAAGAAAGAAAGAAAGAAAGAAAGAAAGAATGAACGAAAGAAAGAACGAAAGAGAGAAAGAAAGAACGAAAGAACGAAATAGCAAACGAAAGAACGAATGAAAGAGCGAAAGAAAGAACGAAAGACAGAATAGTAATGTAAAAGAGAGTGCTTAAGATCGAAAGTAAAAATGAAAAAATTCTTTAAGATAATCCATATTGAAAGTAAATGGAACGATTATCTCAAAGAAAGAAAAATAAGTTTTGAACAGAATCAACGAAAGAAACGTCGAAAGAACAAAATAACGAGAAGAAGCAAGAACTATTTCAGAATCAGGAGGAGGAGACCAATTAAAGAATTTCGTGGGAAGAAGTGGGGAGAATTTGTCTGATTACATTCATCTTGAGTTGTTGCATCATTAGCAATAGAAGAGTGTTTCTCCTTTTTCTCATTCTTTCTCTCTCACTTTTCTCTCTCACTTTTCTCTCTCACTTTTCTCTCTCACTTTTCTCTCTCATTTTTTTCTCTTCAAAATATTTTCAGAAAATCGATTCAACACATAATATTCGACAAACAGTGAAATAAACCATGATCAGTGTTATAATTGGATCAACATTTTAAAAATAAATTTTCACCCAATACAAGACCTAAGAGTCACTCAATGTAGAGTATTACTAAATATGGTTCCTGTTTAGACGTACGAAGAAGAAATGAGTGCAGATTACGACGACATGTAGGACTTGAAGGGGTTAAGATTATAGTGATCGGAGAAGCATCTTTTGGGGAATCTGTTCCACAATGTACGGGTTCTTGGAAATAAACTGGAACGTCCTTATTATCAATGGAATACGAGCGGAATGAGGATGATTCGACTCGATGTATATGTCCTGGCAGCTGTTAGCTGTAAAGGTCTGAATTGATGGTACTAATAAACGTAGTACCTCCAATGGAAATAGCAACAGAACAGAAATAAGGCTTGCGACGTTCCGTCTGTGGGAAAGGTGATCTCACATATCCGCGAGAAACGAATTTTCGAACATGCTACGTCAAATATTACAGATATATCATATAGTTCTTAATTTTCTTGTTATATATTGCCTGAAGTGTTATTTCTGGTTTTACTGCATAAATAATAATGAAAAAATGTTTTATTTAAAAAAATAGAATCGAAAACCAATATTAAAAATGAATCACAGCCATTTCATATTGAAACACCGTTATTCGTCCAATCCCAAAGTTAAGCAACATAGAGCTTGGTCTTTAAATAGATGAGTAACTACTTGGAAATACCAAGTGCTGTAATCCTGGATATTCCGGGGTTGTACTGGGTAATCGCTGGGAATAGGAAAGCAGGGGGGGGCATAGACCGAATTCTGGTCGAGTTCGTTACATACACTTAGACGCAAATACTCTTTGGAAAGGTATGATTCCATCTTTTCTCTCCCAATTAGTACTAGATTGACAGCAAGGTCTCATCATTTTACAGTTAAAATGTCTAGATGTGACCGTAAGTTCTATGCTAATAGCTTCTTCTATCGCACTTTATCCGTATAGAAAGCTTTTCCGGTTTCTTGCTTCCCAGACTACTTTGATCTTCAAAAATTTAATTGCAATTTCAATCATTATCTTCTGTCTTTTTAATCCTTGTTCTTTTATTGATCTCTCTCTCTCTCTCTCTCTCTCTCTCTCTCTCTCTCTCTCTCTAATAGTGTTCTTTTTTTCTCATATTCTATAACATTCAGCGTCTTAGTGACTTTATTATCCGGCTTGGAGTAAACGATATAAAACTATGGGTAAATAGTAGGTGAAACTGGGTCCTATAGCCTTGATTGGCAACAAGTCTACCGCATCAAGTAACGGCAGCGTATTGCAGGAATTCTTCTGCCAAGTGATCATGATTCAAAAAAAGACATGATCGTCTAAGCGTGCATCACGCATGGGGCCTAAAGATATTAATATGTAGTAATTTTGAAACGTAAGAAATAATCTCTGACCCCAGCTGTGGGTTAAATAGTAGGACAGACTGGGCCATATAGCCTTGGTTGGAAAGCAGTCTACCGTGGAAATTAACAGCAGCCTACTGCAGGAATTCTACTCCTAAGTCAATCATGAATCGAAAAGAGACATGATCGCCCAAATGTGCATCACGAATGTTACCTTAAGAAGAAATCAAAAAAAAAATATGCAAGAACGTGTTTCAATTTATTTTCAGAATGATCTTTTAAAACAATTCATGATCAATGTGACTCAATGTTTTTTTTTCATATTTCAAGTAATTAACAAGAAAGTCACAATGATCTTTGAATATGTTTTTACAACAATTATTACAGACCGTCTTTATTTTACAGTCACTTGCTTGTAATTATTACAAACATTATGACTAAAACCAGAAACATCTTGTAATTATTTGACCGAGGCATTCAGAAAACTGCATATCATCGACAGTAAATCCACCCGCGTCCAGGTTCTTACAACATTCCCCCTTCTTTGACAGATGCAAACAAACCTAATAATAAAATGAGGATAGCATAAGGAAACTATATAGAAAGTGCTTTGATCGCCAGATCATCGACAGTAAATCCGCCCACGTCCGGGTTCTTACAACATTTCACCTCTCTTGGCAGATCTTCCATTATCACAAAATGGGATACTTTATTAACAAAAGTGATGAACACATAAACAAAAAGAAAATGAAACTAAATGAAATTGGCTCGGCCTATATAAGGAAAAACATATTTAAAAATAAAAAAGTTCAAGACATCCCCTCTCCTACATGTGCATTTATAGGCACATCAAAGTAAACATTACTTTAGTCTGATGAAGGCCTAAAGGACGAAACGCGTCACACGAAAAAAAAACTTTCCACTTTGTCATTGGTTTCGTAACATAGCGATACATAAAAATTTATATATATTTTTCCTATGACTAATCATAAAAAATTGACTTTCCGCTAAATAATAATTAAAACATTTTGTTGGATGTACAAACCCCCTAGGGTAGTAATAGAATAGAATAGTAAGGGTATAGAAACATTTCCTTGGGATGCTGCAATTATTGATCTTTTTATTACTTTAAATGCTGGCATGATTTCAGTTTTAACATCTACAAGAAGCACGCCCTCATACAAAAATGGGACCATTATTATCACTACACTGTTATCAGTACATTGTAAATTGTAAAGGATTCAACTGATTTAAGTTAGCACATTTAAACCGTATTGACCGAACAGAAATCCCTTCCGATGTGCTGTTTTAGCTGTGATAGAAACACATTCACCAAAATCAAATCATAAGAGTATAGATTATTATTATTATTATTATTATTATTATTATTATTATTATTATTATTATTATTATTATTATTATTATTATTATTATTTCCTTTGATTTCTGTTGCATACCCGTTTCCAAGCAGAGACCTAAGGTCACAAATGGCTTCAAGACATTATGTAAAAAAACAAAAACTTAAGATTACACAGATTTTACACAGATAAAGCTCTTTGTAATATGTGAGCTGTACTTGTGAGTACAATCTTTTGTATTTCTTTAAAGCATGGGCTACTAAAAATTCTGTCAATGTGTCTATCGGAACATTTTCCACTGAATCCGAGGGTTCCAACTACAACTGATTTTATTGGCGTCCTCATGTGTCACATTTTTTAGATTTCCACTTCAAGATGCTTATATTCTGATACTTTTTGGAGATCTTCAAAGATACATTACAATCTACAGGAACAGACATGTCAATAAGGAAGCACATTCTGTACTTGTCTTTCATCACGATGTCTGGCCGATTACCTTTGATTGTTTTGTCTTTGTGTATTGTAAAGTCCCATCAAATTGTTACAGGTCATATGTCTGTAACTGGAATCTGGGTGATGTTCATACCAGTTTCTTTCAGTTTCCTTCCCGTAAAAGGAAGGAAAATGTCATGCAGAGTTTTATATTCATTGGGTGCCAATACCGCGCAACCTGATACAAGAGGATTAATTGTTTCTGGATATTTATCACAGAATCTGAATTTGGGGTCAACACAATTTTTCAATGTGTGTGCTTGTTAATTCCTAGTTAGCAAGCATTGGTTCTTTGCAGAAAGAATAAAACCTTCGGTTTCAGCTTTTAACCCTAAATAACCACTGATGGGTCCATAGTTTGTTTGCATCAGTTTGTTTGGTACGGGTAGAGTATTGACCACGAAGAGGCTTATCTTGCCACTGTTTCGGTATTTGGTACTTTGCATTTTTAGGTTATTTGCCGCTGCAGTAGGTGCATTTTGGTTTATTTACACTTCTTCACCCACTTGAAATTCACTTTTGAATTTGTTGGCTTCCTTTATTACTGAATTCTTATCTTTCATGTTCTTTAACACAAATCATCACCCAGTCTTCTGTAGTTTCCAGGTATCTTTGAAGACCGATTTTTGTGGTTTTCTAAGAGTTCCAGTTGAACTAATCTTATGCCCACTTCGGATCTGGGCACATTCAGACGATCAACAGGAAGATGCATATTATTATTATTATTATTATTATTATTATTATCATCGCGTTTTGAGCCTGCTTGTTTGTTTTACGAGCTGCCTTTCAAGTCGTCATATCATAATTGTTGATACAATTAGTTGGATATGTAGCTGACGTATGTAGCATAATCTTTCTTTATCGCATGATGTCGTATGATTGTGTATATTAGCCTATAATTTCATTAAAATGTTTATGCACAGATAAAATTTATGTTAAGTAAAATTTCATAATCAGATTAAATGGAGAATCTCAAAAACTAGAATTATGTCAATGAATTCACGGAAGAATCTTCAAAACACGAAGAAGAAATCATAGCCAAATGTGTTGGGTTCTGTAAATATAAGAGAATGTACATGCAAATGGACGGAAGTTGTAGTGGCTATCGGCTCGGATTGAGAAAACAGAGGGCTGAGTTCGAATTCCAGCCGATTTTGTTGCATTCACTTACTCGCAAATACCCTTGGGAACGGCATGAATCTATTTCTTCTCCCCCATCAGCTATGGGTTAAATAGCATGATAGACTGGTTCCTATAGCTTTGTTTCGCAACCTGTCTACCGCAGAAGGAAATGGCAACTTAATGCGGGTCAGTCATGAATCGAAAGAGACATAATCGCCCAAGTATGGGCCACGTATGTCACTTAAAACGATACAGG